CTGTGTATGTGTGATGTTCCCACTGAATCAAAACCATTTGTACAATGATTGAGTCAAAATTTTAAAATGCTGTTTTATGTTGGAACCTTGTTTTTTTCGCCCGCTCGCATTAGATTTGCGGAGGATGTCATCCATAAAAGTTACTAGCTGTGGCCTTACTCCAACAGCGGGGAGATCTAACGTTACACCAACAGTTGTGTTCTAATGTTACACCAAATGTGCCGCCCGTGTCGCTAATAGCCAACCTGTTATACCAGGAGAAACGCCATCAGGAGACCTCCGAGCGGTTCGATTTCTCTCACATGAATTTCCAGTTTTAATGCTGGGAAAGTTCAGGTGGATTAATAATATACCTCCGTGAAAAATGGAAGTACTGTGTTTTTGGTGTGTCTGTGTGTGTTTGTGGCTGTGTTTCCGCATACTTGTGGTCAGCATAAATTGAGAAGGCCTTTATGGATTGTGATGATATTTGGTATGTGGGTAGGTCAAAGGAGGAAAAAGGGCAAGGTCAAAGATGGTTCCCCTGGTGGCTGACCTTGGTACTGCAGCAGAGCCTCCGGTTTTGTATCTTTTTTCCCGGGCATGCTATGGTCTTGATTTTTTTTTTGGCAGGTAGCTGTAACGTTTATAGTCTATGGCAGGTTGAACATCGACAGGTATTAATTATGCTAATAAGGATTAATTTGCATAATAAAAGCGAAAACGCTACGATTCTCTACTGGTAAATGTTGAGAAGTTCATACTTATGCCATGTGTAAGTTAGTTGAAGGTTAACATTACTATGCATATATTATGTTAATGTGGATGTCATTAGCATAATTTAACGATGAAATGTTAAATGAAACATATTGTCTAAGGATGATACTTTCCCATATGAACTATATGTAATTTGAATTGAGAAAAACCATAACTCGTGTAAATTACAACCTTTTTCCCCATAATCAATGAGACAAATGAAATAATAAAATTACAAATGCTCTAAACATCTAAAGAAGGTATGGGGTATGTGAATTCTTGTTGAGGTACAGGAATGACGAAAATCTAAAATCAGTGCACAAAAACAATGTTGTACAAAATGCAGATACATGTATACTACATCTTTGTATATTTACGGATTTGTAAAGGAAACGTAAAGATATGAAATATGTTTACGTAGTATTTAAGCGCACTGAAAGGTAACGGAAAGGCGGAATTTGCCTTTCAGCGGCCTTTACGAAGTCGTAAAGTCTACTGAAATATTTTCTCACCTTTAATACTTCTTTACATATTGCGGAAAGTTTGCTTAAATATCTGTTTTCGTGCTGTGTGCACTGGACATATTTTACGATGAGGAATAACAGAAGGCGGCGACTGTCATGTTCTGTAATGCAGGAATAGAAAGAGAAGTCTCTTGCTTGTCATTTCCTTTCTAAACTACTGTCTCCAGGCTATATCTGCCACACAATCGGTAATACATTTTGACATGGGTATTTTGTCACTGTTGCAACGAATGTAAAAGGCATCCCATACAATTTCAGGGCGGCAAAGCTGGAAATATTCTGAATAAGGTAATCTGTATAATACTGACACATACTATTCCACATTAGCACATTTGAATTAGTATTTCATACTTGTGGTATGAAGAATCAAGCCACAAGATGAATTCCTTTATTTTCGGGGTGGTACCCAAAAAACCAATGCAGGTCCTTCCAGTAACCGTTTTTCGTCAGAATTTTGGGCAATTTTGCTCCATGAATGTCGATATACATTGGGACAGTGTTGTTTCAACTTACTATGTAGATAAGTGTCTAGAATATTGACTTTGAAAGCCTTAAAAACTGCACTGGGTGCCTTTAAACAGACACGAGTCACTAGTGTATACATATACCGGTGAAAGCTGCTCAGAATATGGTAACCCAATAAAATGCACAATCATACTTTGAGCAATTATGCCTTTATTACCTACACATATTTTAGGCAAAAATAACCATCATTATAAATGCAACGTGCAAAAGTAAAAGAACAACAACTGTAATTAAGATCATATATTTTTTGCTAAAATTATTGTTTGTGGGATCAAAGTAAACAAGGAATTCAATTTCAACAAAAAAAACTAATCTAGCTGTCGCGAACTATATAGGTATGGCGGGTAGTTGAATTGCTACTAGTATATCTTAAAGGCATCCAGTTTTAGGGCTTGGAAACCAGATTTTCTAAAGTCAATATCCTAGTCATTTATCTACATACAGAGTTGAAACTACGTTGTCCCAATGTAGATTGACCCTCATGGAGCAAAAATAGCCAACATTCTGACGGAAAATGGTCACTGGAAGGGCCTTTGGCTTATTTTTAGGGTACCACCCATAAAATAAAGGACTCATCTTGGGGCTTGTTTCTGCAGTTTTAAATGTCCAAAGTATGAAATACTGAATTGTAATATGTGCTAATGTAATGCAGTATGTATCAATATCCTACAGATCGCCTTGTTCAGAATATTTCCAATTTTGCTGCTCTGAAATCGCATTGGATGCCTTTAATTGGAAGAGAAAAACAAAAGGATATTTAGACTGAAGTTCTATCGAGTCAATCCCTCTGGCCACTTCTCTATCTTCCTATCGTTGTCATTCCTTCCTGTCGTCCCCAAAGTTAATACGCCATAAAACAGTTACTCAAGCAATTGGATATGATTTTGGAAACGGCCAAACGTTTTAGGTAGCATCCACTACCTTTCGTCAGTGACACTGGAGACTGCAGGAGAATTGCAGGTTTATAAGCACGAACTATTGATTAATATGACAGACGAAAGGTAGTGGATGCTACCTGAAACGTCTGACCGTTTCCAAAATCATATCCAGTTGCTTAAGTAAGTGGTTTTTTTTTTAATTCTAACATCTAATCACAAGTGGGGTCGTGTGGCGCAGTCGGTAGCGCGTTCGGCTCACACCCGAGAGGTCGCGGGTTCGAACCCTGCCCGATGCCACCGATCTTGTGCCCTTGGGAAAGGCACTTTACACGACTTTCCTCACTTCACTCAGGTGTAAATGAGTACCTAGCTTCGGCTAGGGACGTCCCTCGGATAGGACGTGAAATGGAGGTCCAGTGTTTGGGAGAGTCACACCCCACGCACGTTAAAGAACCCACCGCACTTATCGAAAAGAGTAGGGGACCTTCCCGGTGTGAGTGGTTCAAGCCTTACAGTCTGGTCTCGGGGTTGACATCTTTGAAGAGGTGATAGTCACCTGTTATGTCAATCCTTCCACAAATGTGGTAAATCGTCATAAAATAGAATAAAATAAAAAAACAAGACGTGGTGACGGCACACTCCAGTTTTTTTTTATATTAATGCCGCCACCAACACAGGGGACAATACAATACTCATTTTCACCTGAGCGAAGTGAGGAAACTCTTGTTAAGTGCCTTTCCCAAGGGCACAAGATCGGTGGCATGTCAGGACTCGAACCCGCGGGACCTCTTGATTCCGAGTCGAGCACTCTGCCGCTACGCCACACGACCCCACCCCGTTAACTGTTGTTTTTTTTTTTTGGCGTATCTTATTACCTGGATGTCTAACCTTCACCGACGTAATAGTTAGTGCCCCCCGTTGCCCCACGCCAACTTATTATAGATATATTGACCAACATACGGTGTCTCCACGGTCAGATAGTGACGAAGGTACTCATGTGAGAGATTGAAATGTTGTTTCCAAAGTTAGGCCACACCAAGTAAATTTTATGGATGACGTCCGCGCGCGCATTGATTTTGTCCTGTTCCTAGAAAAAAAAAGAAATTCCGCTTCCACGACAGTGCTGCAAATCGTCAGATTGACATCAAACCCGTAACTCGAAAACAGGACAGGACGACAAAGTACTGCTGTTCCACCTGATTTATTGCTGTTTTGATGATGAATAAAAGACTTCTTGCTTGTTACACTGTGTCACCTCATTCAATTTGTGTCCTAACATTTGTCGTCTCTTAGTATATTTCTAATCTAGGCATCTTGTTTTTTAGGGCCCTTCTTGTTTTTTTTTCGCCCTCTCGCATTAGATTTAGGGTCTCCAAAGGACGTCATCCATACAATTTATTTGGTGTGGTCTTATAGATGGTTGTGGAGGTAAAACGGATGCAGAGTAGCAGCCATTAGGACGGGTCCATCTCCAAAGATCGATGAAACATCCCGTGTTAGATTTGATTGAAAGCTCCGCGCCCGTGATTTGACGTGTGCTGGAGATATTACCATAGATTGAATTACCAAAAGTTATCAATATATATATATGATTTAATAAAAAAAAGAAGACCGTGTGCCAAAAATTGCAGTGCATTTAAGGTAAGACTGCATTTCTCGGAGTTATCACAAAATGCAAAGTTTATTGCCCGAGCGGGCTAATTGTAGGTCCAAAGAACAACATGTATACGAATGAAAAAAAGAGAAAAGAAAATGCAATGATATAAGAGACTACGTCTAACATTATACTACATTCTACAACATACATGGTACTAGTTTTGCTGGGTCTGACTTCTTCTTTGAGGCAGTGGAAGACGAATTTCCCCACTTCTTCTATAATATGTGGGTTCTTTGACATTATGTAATTTCTTATATCACAAAAAAGCATTCGTCGACTACCACTGCCGGGCAGGTTATTGTATAAATGAAGAATTCATTTTAATTTTTATATAATGTTGTTCTTTTTTATTGCAAATTCATGCCCGAGGGCTAATTGCAAACATACATTGACAAGAAAAATGTGGTGATATAAGACTATTTGCAAACATGAAGTTCTACGTGTACGATATACTTATATCAAACCTACTATCTCTACTTAAATCTAATAACGTTGGTATACATACAGGATAAAAAAGAGTAAATATGCACTATGTGAACAGGTAATATGAAGAAGGTAACTGCTATTATGATCTATTCTATTCTATTGAACTATTCTTGCTATCCTATTAATATAATACGTACTTATTGCCATCAACTTGAAGTCTGACTATGTGGACCAGTAGAAGGGTTTTGTACTCACACAAGCGCCGCAGCATATCGGCGACATGCTGTTCCTAGAGGTGATCTTCCCGCCCGGTGTGTACACGGCCGCGGCGCCCAGCCCGATCCCCGTCGACCCCACCCCGAGCAGCAGCACGGAGAACACCGCCAGGGCCGCCCGCAGGGTCCGCATGCTGCGCCGGTGGCGGGCCTTCTCCTCCAGCTGAGCCCGCTGCTCCCATGAGATGGTCCTCGCCATCCCTCGTGGCCGCCGCAACTTTCCCCATGAGCCCATGCGCCAATTGAACAATTGGCCGCACTGTTCTATCACTCACAGAGAAGCAGCTACCGGCACACACACGCGCTCGTCCCACTTTTCAGTCACAAGGTACCGATCAATTCAGCAACTGACGCCCCAGTCTGCAGCGCATGATGTATTGTAACAGCACAGAGATGATTTAAGCTGGCAGATCGCAGCTACGATACAGAGCTAAGAGATTTGTGGAGCCCGTTTTCAGCGATACGTACGCCTGCACTACTAGTACCAGTACCAGACCTATCATTATATATACCGTAACTCGTCTGACACTCTCACGTGTAGATTGTCACTCGTGAAACATGTGAGGAATCATCCACACGTTTGCACCACTAATTTAGGGTCACTTAGCTTCCACTCACAACCGCGTGAGAGCTGGAATTGCCGCGGCTAGCGAGTCGATGGAGAGGGGAACGCTCTACGTAATGGAGGTCGAGAGTTTGTTGGAGCGCGTACGCACACACGTATATGATAGCCTCCATAGCACGCCAAAAACTGGGGGTTTGGGGGGTCTTCAGGGTCTTTGGGAGCTTTGATGTGCTATTTTCTGATTGGCATATAGACAACATAACCAGCCTGGTTGAATTACCCCCGTTTTTTTAGAACTGGGCTTATCAGAAAACAGCCGAAGACCACCAAACCCCCAGTTCTATAAGCCTGAGCTGCTACGGTGGCTACGTATATGAGCTCTTCGCAGTACGGGACAACAATTTTAAATATAACTAGCGCTGTGTACCTAAACTCATTTTAAGGTTCAGGTCCGGATTCAAGTCCAGGTATATACAAAATTGCATGTTGGCAAACATTTTGTAGTGCACACTGCGCTACCAGGGTTTAGAAGCAATATAGTTTACACATCTGGGTGAAACTATGGCCACATGGTTTAACCCTCAACAGTACACCTTCCCGGACTGATTAATCTGTACACCTGGGGTCCGCGCGGACCCCAGAACAGTTTTTTGCTAAGTTTTAGAAATTATCAACATGCTACCAGCTCAATTGTTTTGCAAACTGATGTGTGAACCTCTGTGTCCACATTACATACAAAAATCATACATTTTGAACTTTTTCTATTTTTGGTGAAGAAAAGAAGACAAGAAGAAATACCCGATTTTTAAACCCATTTCATACTGAAGGGGCTTTTGAGGCCCAACTTTGATCTCAGATAGCAGCTAAACGGCTTGCGCTAGAAGTATCAGATTTGGAGACCTTTCCTAAAATGTCTCTGGAAAAAAGTTCATATTAGTTTAATACTAGTAAGTTGATGTTTTTTTGTGTTGCCATGGCAACGGGTTTCTAGCAGGCAGTTTTTTAAAAAAATAGAAGTAATTTTGGTTTCATTTTAAATTACACTTCTTTTCCAACTTTAATAACATCTTACATAATTAAATATAAGTTAAATCATTAAATATGCATAGAATATGCTAATTTGATGACGTCATTGGTCAAAATCCAATATGGCGGACTATATTATTAGCTCTGACGTCATATGACGTCATAATTACACCAAAGTTATTAAAATT